CATGAGCTCATTATTATTAAGCTCACTGTTAACACATCCTGAGTGCTGCAGGCCAGTTTGCACAGAGAAGGAGGCTCAAATGAATATAATATCTCAGACTTGTCCACAGTCCAAACATGTCTCCATGCCCTTTAACCAGGCCCAAAGGCCTGAGTCATAGGGCCCAGCTTTTCCTCCTTCCTCTATGGCCAATATTTCTGATGTGAGCACACAGCTCCTTTGATTGCTTGATAGGTGTTTGCTGAGCTTTGGATCCCCTCCCATTACAGGGAAGGAAGGGAAAGTTCAGCATATAGGACCATTGGAATGGGCAGTTAATGTTCTGCTAGTTACATCATGTTGATTGTTGATATACTATTGTTGATCATTGATATACTATTAATTATGTGTATATAATGCAATTAGTCCACAAATTATAGTTGATATTTAACTGGCACCATGGGCCTCCCATAATTTGTTGTATTAATGATTCATTTCAACCTGTAAGCTTTACACACAAGATCTAGCATAAAGAGATGAAGTAATGGTATCCTGTTTCACATCACATCTGTATGTAACATTATCACCTATTCACAGATCATCCCTAAGAAGGCCTATTTTTTTTCAGGAAAATGGCAGATGAAGGGTCTGACTCTGGTGTGGGAGGAGTGCAAAAGAATTTAAACAATGTGATTGAATCTTCAGACAATGAATCTGAAGAATCTGGCAGTGATGGTATGTCACATTGTGCTGAAAATGTTTTGAAAGGCTAATGAGGACTACATTCTTCTTTTACAACACTTATGTAATGGTGAATAAATGAAGACACTTAGAGTGCTGCAACCACATGTTCTGCTCAGCAGTAGCTTGTGATTTCAGTGAGCACAGGATTCTTTTTTTGGGTGGAAAATAGGGCACTTGCTCAACCAGAATATGGTTTATAGTCATACCACATTTCACTGTTGCCATTTCATTTGTTTCATGTGTGTGTGCACATTGACACCCATGCACCATATATGACTGTTGGTATCAGTTGTAATCACCATCATCAACAGTCATGTGCCAGAGGTGAAATGGTCTGTGACTTGTGACTTTATGTGAGCAGTAAACCCACATGTGTCCACTCTGCAGCCTCAGAGAGTGATGACGGCGGGGAAGAGAGCGGCAATGAGAGCTCGGGCAGCGGTAGCGACGCCGGCTCGGACAGCTCGTCGGGCAGCGCTGGCACCGCCGATGTCTGCCCCATCTGCCTCTCGCGCTTCAGGGGGCAGGAAGTTGGCAACCCAGAGTCTTGCGACCACAACTTCTGTCTGGATCACATCCTGGAGTGGGCCAAGGCATGGCGAAAAATTTGTCCTCCAGCATAACATTTTTGGATGTGTTTTGACAGCTTAGCTCATTAGTCAGTTTACTAGTTAAAATAAGATATTGAATTTTACAAGTGTGGCGAAAATTGTCCGCATTTACTGAACATTAGTGCATGCATGATGTGTCCATGTATGAGCATGATACACACCATTTTGGAGGGAGCATGAGCACCCCCACCTATCCATATTTATGACTTGCAATAATATGTGTGGAACTGATTGTTGGTTAGATATATCTGTAAGTGACAAAAATAAGAACACCGAGATCGGTATCAGTTACGGCAAGAATCTCGTCGGGCGTTCGCGATCACACGTGTGACATGATGGCGTGGTTATCTTTCAGAACGTGAACACGTGCCCAGTGGACCGGCAGCCGTTCTCGCTGGTGCTGGTCCGCAAGACGCCGGGCGGCAAGATCGTGCGCCAGGTGACCGTCGACAAGCGGGACATGCTGGAGGAGGCACAGGAGGACGATCCTGTCTATTGCGAGGTACTCGCCGGACGTCTCAAATAAGACGGCTCTGCTCTGCAGCAAACTCGTTACATACTATGGCGGGTCAGTACACGGCGGAGGGATGTCACTGATACCACAGAGGCGCCACGTGACCGGCGGCGCCTCTACCGTGACGTCGCAGTCACCCCGGCCGTCGGACTGACCGTCGGCCCGCGTCAGGTGTGCGGCCGCTGCGATCGGGAGGACCGGCTGCTGCTGTGCGACGGCTGCGACGCCGGCTACCACCTGGACTGTCTGGAGCCGCCGCTGGACGCCGTGCCGGTCGACGAGTGGTTCTGCCCCGAGTGCGCCCCGCTCCGAGCCGACCCGCGCCTGCTGGCCGCAGAGGTCAGTGGCTGCTGGACTGCGGTCCGGCCAGATGCGGTCCCTGCCGCGGCCTGACACGGTCCCGGTCCCGACTCGGTACAGTCCCGGTCCCGGCCAGGCATGGTCCTGTCCCGACGTAGCACGGTGCCGGCCCGACAATTGTCTGGTCCTGACCCGGCCTGGCACAGATTTGGGATGTTCAGGACTTTAGGCAGCAGGAGAACGCACCACCCGAGCAAGTGTGCTAATTGTCATTCCTGTCCATGGGCGGGGACTGTAGCCCGAGAGGTCGGGATGTCCGGTAGTTCTGCTAGTGCGGTGCGACCCATGAAGAGCTGCAGGCCTACTACATGTGTTAGCATGCCAATGTATCTGCAGGTGGGTGTGACCCAGGAGGAGGTGCTGGACCTACTGGATGACCCGGACTATGACTCTGAGCTCCCTCTGCTGCGGGCCGGCCCCCGCCTGCTCCGCTCGGTCCGGCCGGTGGCTCGCACCAGGCTCAGCGAGCGGATCGCCTCCCGCCTGCCGCGCAGCCGAGGCGCCACTGCCACCACCACTGCCTCTGCCGTACGTAGGGCGCGCTGCGGTCGGGGCCACCTCTGTACCACTGTTCTGCTCTACAGGCTTAGACTTCTTTGTGCCACTAGTACAGCGTGCTTTGCTATTTTGTACGATGTATTCTGCTTGCATGAGCTTGTGTTATATGTTGACATCATGAAGTGTTGTCTGTGTGACGCGTGCTTTACCACGGGACGACGGATGGATTTTCATCAAGGGTGGTGTTCACCTAGTGTCTCCGGCCGTGCGGTGGTGGTGAGAGCGCGGCGGGTGTAAGGGCGGTCCGGCTGACCTGGCGTGCCATCTTAGGGGAGCGGTCTCCCGTCCACCTCCAGCGGCCGGGGCCGCGGCCGGAGCGGCTCCACGGCACCCCGGGCCGCCGCCACCAAGCGGAAGAGGAAGACGAAGAAAAAGGTCTCACGCTCCAAGTCCACCCGCGGTCGGGGCAAGACCAAAACGCGCCGCAAGAAAAAGAAAGCTGGTCGGAAAAAGACAAAAGCGGTGAGAGAAATCATAGGGCTGCAGAAGCACGCTGCTTGCAGCTTAACGGAATGAATTGGTACCAGAGTGAGGGGAGGAAGGGGGCATAAAGCAATTGTCTTTCTGCTGGTTACAGCAACACAATTTGGCGACACGTTACTGTAAGCTGCTTTACCATAGTTATGTGGGCATCGCTATTTGACATGTAACATGCGAACCGAGGACGTGTTGCCATACCTCGACTTCCCGTTTCCCCTTTCTCTATCGAGATGAGACCGGTCCACCCCGTGAACCACCAGCACCCCTGGTGAACGTGACGCCGGTCGCGCGTGGCCTGCTGTCGGCCGCACCCTGCCACTAACCGGTGCGCTGGTCTCTGCGTCGACAGAGGCGCGCCCCGGCCGAGCCCGACCCGTACGAGCGCACGCGCGAGAGCCTGCGCCGCCTGCTGGCCATCCGGCGCATGAAGCCCGGCCAGGTGCGTGACGGCCGTCTATACCTCAACTGCTCGAAATGTCATGCGGTGGAAGCGTTTCGATTTTTGTGTTGTTGGTACCTGGACGTGTCGAATTTTTGCCGTGCTAGATCCCGCTTGACTTTAACACAGTCACGTGGGTTCAGCCACCCAAGTAGCACAATCGCTGGCTACAGGTTGGCTGTGTTGGTGCCTTGTGTGACGACGTTTGTGGTCGTGCGGGCAGATGGCGCCACCTGTGATGCGCGCCGGTCGAGCGGAGCGGGGCGGTCCGGGCGCCGGCGCCGGCGGCCCGCGGTACGGGGACGGCCTACCCACTCTGCACCTGTTCGGACGGCGTGACGACCTGCTCCACCTGAGCGGCGCCAGCGACTCTGACGAGCAGGGCTCGACAACGGCGGCGGCGCGGCGGCGGCCGCTCTCGCGCGCCGAGATCGTGGCGCGGCTGAAGCGTCGGGCGCGGCCGACAGTGCCGCCCTGCCCGCCGCCAGCCGCCCGTCCGGTCGGCGGCGACGTGCTGCACTCGATCCTGGCGTCTCAGTCGCTGCTGCACGCGCGCGGCGCTGACGTGGCCATCGAACGGGACGGCCGGCTGCTGGTGCGGTCCGCCCCCGGCCGGCCGCAGGGCGGCGCGACCACCACGTCCGCGCCGCCGCCGCCGCCGCCGCCTGTCACCGGCTGGACGGCCGGCGGCGGCCTGGCGGGCGGCGACCCGACCTCCGGCGCCGCGGTCCCGGCCGGCGGTGGCAACGGGTCACCTTCCGCCCGTTCGCCGGCCGCGAGCGAGAGTGATCCGCGCGGCGCCGAGGCCTACGCCAGCTACCTCCGGCACTCTTCGAGCGGCAGCGGCAGCGGCTCGCCGGCGGACGGCGCCGGCCCTGCCGCGCCCGTGATCAGCCAGCCGTGCGGAGCCGACGCGCGGCTTCGGCCGGGCGCCCAGAAGGCGGCCAAGGAGGACGAGACGGACCTTTACAGCGACATTGAGCTGCCGGGGGTGGCCCCGCCGGCCGACTCGGACGAGTGCGACAGCGCCGGCGAGTGGCCGGCGGCCGGACCGGCGGCATTGCCCGGCCGACCCCCAGCGCCGGCCGCGCGCTCGGCCGCCAGCGACGCCTCGTCGGACGCGTCCCTGGAGATCGACGACCGGCCGGCGGCGTCGCCGCCCGAGCCGCGGCCCGGCAGCGGGCCGACACTGCCGGCGGCGCCGCCCATCGCCGCGCCGGCGCCGGAGCGGCGCCATCTGGTGGCGCTGGCGGCGCTCTCCAAGCCGGCGGCTAGTGGGCGGCGCCGGCTCATGCCGCCTATCTCCATCCCGTTAATGCCGGCCGGCGGCGTGACGGCCGCGGCGGCGACGCCGGCGCCGGCGCCGCGACCGACCGCCAGCCCGCTGCGGGCGGTGGAGCGCGGTCTAGTGGACATGTTCGGACCGCCGGAGCCGGACAGTGGCCGTGTGGAGCGTGACATTGAGGCCATTTTCGGGTCGCCAGAGCCGGGCCGGGGCCGGCTGGGCTCGCCCGCCGCCGGGTCGACGGCAGGGGGCGCGGCCACTGCCCGCTCGGACCGGCCGGTGCCCGACGAGCGGACGCCACGGACGGGGGTCGGCAGTGATTCCTCGCGCGCGGAGATTCCGAAGGGCAGCAGTGAGCGGGGTTCACCAGGCCGTGATGAATGCGGGCTGGCACGGGTGTCGGCGAACAGTGACGATCGCCCCCTCTGGAAGGTGATCGATTCAACGTCAGATGAAAAAGCGGTCACCGATAACGACGAATCTGGACGTAATGGCAGCAGCTGGAAAAAGCCGATGAAGAGCGGTCGTGACAGAAACTACCGCAGCAGCACGTCAGGTAGGATTGATGCTGTGAGCAGTGACGAAACTCAGGGTAAAAACGAAAATGCAAAGGACGATTTGTGCGACTGGAAGAGTAAGCACAAGACACGTATTGAGGAAGAGGATAGCGCGAAGAACGGCAGGTCAAAGGACGTTTCCTATTCCGAGGATGGAAAGAATAAGAACATCGAATCGAAGGAACACGGCGATGTGCGAACGGCTGTGCGGGACCATCAGAGCCGAAAGAACAAGACAAAGCGTCGTGGCTCGCCCAGCAGGCGCACCCGCTCCTCCAGCTCCTCCTCCAGGTCGTCTAGCTCGGCCAGCTCGACTGGCCGGCGCTCGCGGCGCTCGGTCCGCGCCGTTCGGCGACGCTCGGCGGACCGGAGCCGCGACGCCAGCCGGTCGCGGCGCTCCCACTCACCGCGCGACCCTTCCGGCCTGTCGGCCGGCAGGCGCTCCGACGACGCCCACAGGAAGGCGCGCGCACCGTCGCCCCCGCCGAAAAAAGTCAAGAAAGGAAAATCCACGCGGAGCGACTCCTCGGACTCCGATGGCAACGTGAGGAAGTGGAGGGATCGGGGTGGCTCGTCCGATAAGGAGGCGAAAACGAAAAAGAAGAAAGACCTTGAAGACTCGTCCGAGAAAAGTAGGAAGGGTAGGAAGAAAGCAGCTAGGGATAGCTCGCCCGACAGAGGTAAAAAGAACAGAAAGAAAGGTGGTCGAGACAGCTCTTCCGATAAAGATAAAAGGAACAGGAAGAAACGGGATCGAGACGGCTCTATCGAAAAGGAGAGGAAGAGCAAGAGGATAATAGGTCGAGGGAGCTCATCCGACAGAAATCGAAGCAAAAAGAGGGTTTGTCGGGACAGCTCGTCCGATAGTGACAGAGAGGACAGGAGGAAAAGAGGTCAAGACAGTCTACCCGACAAATTTAGAAAGACCGAGAAGAGAGGTGGTAGAGAGAGCTCATCCGACGAAGAAGGAACGAAAAAGAAGATATGTAGAATGGAGAGTTCGTCGGACAGAGATAGAAGGCGGCAGAAGGCACGGAACCGGGACAGCTCGTCCGACACAGACAGGAAGAGTTTAAAGAAACGTGACGCATCGCCACCATCAAAATCAGTTAAAGCCCGCATTGATAATGGATTGCCGGCTCGCAAAGTCTCAAAGGACATGGACGTTACAAGCTCAAACGATAAAGCTGCCAATAAAAGACGCCGCTCGAGGGAGGCGTCTCCCGCGCGCGAACGTTCAGAAGACGCCACGAGGCCAACGTCGGCCAGAGGACGGCGTCGGTCACCTGCCGCGCGCAGTCCGTCGCGGGGCGAGTCTCGGCGCCGCCGCAGCCGCGAGCGCCGCGCCGGCAGCTGGCGCCGGGAGGCCTCCCGGACCGGCTCGCCGCGGCGGAGCCGGAGCTCCCGGAGCGGCCGGCGCTCGCCGCGGCCCCGCTCCGCCCGTCGCTCGCGCAGCCGGAGCCGCTCGCAGTCGCCAGCGCGGCGGCGCAGGGGCCTGGGCCGCTTGCCGGCGCGGCCGCGGCGCTCCTGGTCGCGCTCGCGCTCGCGCTCGCGCTCGCGCTCGTGGTCGCGCTCGGACTGGCGCAGCTCGCCGGCGCCGGCGCCGGTCGAGAGTGACGGCGACGACGTGGTGGAGCTGACGCCGCCGCGCGAAGAGGCAATCGTCATCACCGACTCGGACGGCGACGGCGAAACGCCGCCGCTGCCGCCCGTCGAGCCGAAGCAAGAGCGGGTGTCTGGCGCTGCATCTCCGGCGGCGGCGGCGGCGGCGGTGGCAGCGGCAGCGGCAGCGGCGGATGCTGCGGCGCCGCCGCCTCCGTCGCCGCCGGCACCGCGCGGTCCGCAGACGCCGCCGGAGCGGGCGGCCGAGGCGGCGCCGGCGCCGGCGGCGGGGCGCGGGCCATGCACACCGCCCGGGCCGGCGCCGGCTGACGGTAGCGCCGTCGAGCGGTACGACCCGTTCGAGCCGACCCACTCGGGCTCGGCCAGCGCCAGCGGCTCGCCACCGCCGCTATCGTCGGAACGAGCGACGGAGGAGCAGGCGGCGCTGGCCGCCGCGCTGCGCCGCGCGCCGTCCGTCAGTCCGACCAAGGCGCCGTCAGCCCAACCCACCATTAGTCTGGTCAGTGAGGTTGTCGATGCCTCAGCTGTGATGTGATGCCCCCCCCCCCCCCCACGCACACACTCCTTGCTGTCGGCTACGAGTGCATGCCGTGTGCTGGTGTGCCTGTCGACGTGTGGACGTGCGAAATCCGGGGTATCGATTACCACTTTATGTTTCGCTGTTTGTGTGTTATGCCATGAGGAAGAATATTATTGTTTCGCATTTTGGTTGCGATATTGTATGCATCATAATGGAGACGTATTTATCATCGCTCGGGCGTACTTTGCATCCGTGCAGTTAAGCTTTGAGCTGTTTTGTTCGTACCGTTCTTGCGTGCTTACTCGTGCAGAGCCGGATGTGTCTGTTGGCGCCTGGGCCTGACCTGTTTGTTTGTAGAACCATGCCCGCGAGGTCCGCCGATGTTGGCCGCTCCTGCCTGCGCAAATGTTGTGAAGTGTTGTGTGCGCGATCGTGACCTCTGCGTTCTCTGACGGGACGCTGTCGGAGCGGTGTCTGCCTTGCCTTCTGAGCCTCGTTTGTTCTCACAACTAGCAGCAGGGCTGCGTCCGTGCAGTCGGCCGACTGGCCTCTGTCCGTGCCGTGTTTGTTGACTGGGGCGGTACCTGTCCTGCCATTTTGCAGACGGGACCGCCATGCCATGCCTGAGGGCGCCGAGCGTGCAGAGTGTGAGTGAGAGGACTTGGTGCGTGCACTCCTGTGAGAGGGACCCGCATGTCAGCTCAGCCTGTTGATCGGGGCCCATGTCCGTGCGTACAGAGTCTGCTGACGGGGCTGGCCAGCCTGGCCGCGGCCGTGTCGGACGTGGCGCGGGCGGCACCGATGCCGGCGCCGGCGCCGGCCGCGCCCAGCCCGGCCGCCCCGCCGCCGGTCGACATGGACCTCGACTCGCCCGGCTCGCCCGAGTCGCCGCGCTCGCCCGACCCGGACGACGGCGACGACCTGTTCGAGCCGCCGCGGCCGCCGGCCGCCCCGGCGCAGGCCGCCTTGTCCGCGCCTGCCGCCTCAGCCGCCGCCGCCTCCACTGCCGCCGCCGCCGCCGCCGCCGCCGCATCGCCACCGGAGCTGCAGTCGCGCTTTGATGAGCTCTTCGGCTCCGAGCCGACGCGCATAGCCAGCAGGGGCGGCGGTACCGCCAGCCTGAGGCAGGCGCGCCAGATCAAGAAGCACGTCAAACGAGGTACGTGTTGGTACGTGCTGGTACCAAGTGGCGAGTGTGGTCTTCACCTGTTCATATCAGGAGAAACACGGTGGCTTGGCATTTCGTGCGCCGGTTGCGGCTGTCGGCGTCGCGGCATTCGGCCGCTGGCTTGTCGTCTGCAGAGGTTTCGAAAGGAGCTCGCATGGCGCCTGGGGTACTGCGACTGAACCGGCCGCCGGTGACCTCTGTCTGACACGTGCGCCGCCGCCGCCCGGCAGCCGACAAGACGCTCTCCTCGGCCAGTCTGACCAACGCCACACTGGAGGTGGTGGACGACGTGCCCAGCTCGGCGGTCGAGATGCTGGTCAAAGAGAAGGTGAGCCGACGGCGGCGGAGTGTGGCGCCAGAGTTCCGCCGCCAGTGCTGCGGCGCGCAGGCAGACGCAACGCCAGGGGCGAGGGCCTGGGGACGACGGTGCGTGCGAACGAGCCCCTCGTGTGCAGCTCTGGTGTGGAAGTGTACTTATTCGGCGTGGTGTGGGCGACGCAGGTTTGCAGATGGCCCGAAGCACAAGCCAGAACTTCATGAGTTATCTTTCGTCTTCCGCGTGTATGCTACCGTGCTGTTTGTCTTCCCAAGCAAATAATGATCAGGGACATCTGTGCGTACAACGCTTTTCTACCATCGCCTTTCTCTTTGCAGTCTTCTACCGAAAATCAACGATTGTCCTACTCCGCAGATAGCGGAAGGAATAGTTACGCATTTCCGCTGATGCGCTGCATATTGAGAGCAGCACGACATTTCCCGCTCCGTGATGCCCCAGGACTCATTTCAGTTCCTAAAGAAGTTGAACCGCCAGGAGCGGGTGGTGGAGGAGGTGAAGATGGTGCTGAAGCCTTACTACCACAAGCGCTCCATCACCAAAGACCAGTACAAGGAGATCCTGGGCAAATCGGTGACCAAGGTGAGCAAGGCCGCCGGCGGGCGGGCAGCCGCGTCGGCCCGGCCGGGGGCCTTGAACCTGAGCTGGACGGACTAGCCGGGCGCTCTGACTGTATTCGGACCCGCCGCCCTCCGTCGACAGCTATCCTTGACCCGGTGCCCGACGGAAACTGACCCTCTCGGATAGTTTATTCATGAATGGCAGTGATCGTTTCATTGCTGAGTGTAGTGTCTACGCGTGTTGAAAAGGTATCTGCTACGGGGGTTGTGGGAACAACTGGCCGTATGAATGCACGAACCCATTATGTAACTGTGGACGTTGGCATTGAATATGAAATGTGTGGATACACACACTTGGCACGTGACCACGATGCTGGCTCTGGGATTGGCTGTAAGGGCCCAAGGATCCGGCGCGTGCGCGTGGATGATTATTCCCACTACCATCAGGGTCAACGGCACTAAGGGGAAGAGCCTCCGTGCCCGTCCCCGTGGCAGCGACAACCGTTGTTCACGTGATAAACGCCTGAGTGATTGTTTTGCCCCCCCCCCCCCCCTCGCCCGCCAGTTCAGCACCATGTTGGACCACCAGAGCATCGGTGGGTCCCCTAACTTTAAGTTGGCAAAGCCTCTGAATCCCATGTCAGAATTCTAACATTGGCATGATCTGCTACAGATATGTCACAGCAAATCCGGGGAAATCAACGCTCAGAAGATACAATCCCTCGTGATCGGGTATGTGACGAAGTTCAAATACTCCAACAAGAAGGCGAGTTTGACGCGGGGAACGTCGAAGCCGGGTTCCTCCGTCAAAACAAAAATGTGACGATGGGCCTCAGTAAAACGTTTGCAATTGTGAATGTTTAGGACGCATCGCTGAGCTGCTGCTGGACGTGTTGCAGCCATGTGTACTGAACGGTCGGTGCGCCGAGAGCCCACGTTGGGTCACGTGTTTCATCCTTGTCCATGAAGTCATTAGCTATGATTTGATTATTTCATTGGCCGCCCGGCCGCGGGTGGCCATCTGCTTGTGGTAGGACGCAGACGCTGTCACCGTGCTTTTGCACATACAACTGAGAAATATAGTCAGTATTTGAAACAATTCGTTTTGGTTACCGAGCCGTAATGCGTGAGATATGTTGATGCATTGTTCTTTCTCTGCAATACGGACAGCTGGCAAATGTCGGACATTAAGTATCGATGCACTAGACACACGGTTGGGCTCGGGTTCGTCGCAAACGCGAAGTGCACGATTGTCAGAACGTCGCATGAATTATCCTCCCGAGCACACGAACATGACACTGCGAGACCAGTTACTGCACGCGGGTGGCACTGCACTCATGTCCACGAGCATAGTACCAGCCTCACAAGACAGCCCGCTCCTCCCCGCGGCGCGTCGAGGGCGCGGATTCGAAATCGTAAGACAAGGTCCTGTAGCCTTGCCATGCGCCATCCGGTCGTGCGAGATACTCGCACTGCACCGCCAACTGCTGCGCGCGCCTGGTCGTCTGGGGCGCTCGCGCCTGGCCATCGGCGCCGCTCGCGCCTGGCTGTGTGAGCCGCTCGCGCCGGTCTGTCCGATGCTGCGCGGCGCTCAGTATGAGACCTACGCGGCGCGTGCCGGAGCGCGGCGCCAGCGCCGGCCCGCCGCCCTACACATCTCAAGTGCGCGGCGCCTCACTTCTTGGCGCCGCCGAAGCCCGAGAAGCCCATCATGGCCGCCAGCTGGGGGTTGACAGGCTCGTCGTCTGCCGCGTCCGCCGTGCGGCGCTTCTTGTCCTTGCGCCGCTCGCGCCGGTACTCCTTCTGTTTCTCCTCCTGCCAGCGGGGGGCGGCGCGTGAGCGCAGGCATGCCCACGGCCGCTTGCCGCCTCCTTCACCACAGCTAACCGTCGGCAAGGCAAGCCATTGGCAGCGCGGCAGATACCGGCTCCAATGCAGTTGACAAGACTCGTAATGCCGCATATCCAACATGGACGGTAAGACAAGCGAGTATTTCAGGGCGGAACATAACATGACCAAAACATATAAAAAGCACCAGTGGCTTACCTCTTCCCTGATCTCGTTTAGCCGTTCTTCCATGTCGTATTCTTTCTTCTGCTCCTCCCGTTTCCGCTTATTCATGTCGAACCTCTTCCTGACCTGGTCAAGAGACGAGCGCTCCACCCGCATCGACATGCCCAAGTTTCTCTGGTCTGTTCGCCGATAGAACAAAAAAGAACAGGGTTAGAAGAGGCTGGGCGAAAACGTGTTCTCCTGAACGCGCAATAATGCACCGCGAAGCAAACCTTTACGCGCTAATCCAATACAAGAGAAAACAATATCACGGTGGAACAATATCGTTGAAGGTTACCCGACAACAAAACGCGGACATGTGCACGTTATCAACTGATGCACATCGCACTAGTGTGGTCTCAACATCAACAACTCCATAGGGGAAAGGGAAGGACGGAGCGGACGCGCTCCGACTATTTGGAACTTCGCGTCACGCTTACACACATTGCACAGAAGCACATGCCTTAACCTTAATGCCCACCGCGCGGCTTTTCACCAGACCTTACGTCATCTGTCGCCCATATTTGTACCTCAGTGTCATCAGTAAGGTGGATCAGATTAAGGGGCAACTTACGTTTCTTTCCATTTATGTGGTCCAAGAAGTTGATGGAATCCTTCACCACGCAGTCACAAACATTACAGTAGTACCTGCGGGACAAAAGAAGCAACATTAAATCTTGTTCAAATGGATAACAGGCAAATAACTCTTAAGCGCTAAAACTCATCGGCCATAAACCAGGGAAAAACACATCAGCCACATCTTAGCACGCCATTCACATGTTACATTCCACGCTAGCCAGCCACACAACTTGTCACATGATTCTCCCTGATGAGCACGCCTGTGGGCAGTCTCGACAATGGTATAACTTCACCGATTACTACCACTGGCTCGCGAGCGTCGACACTCGGTCTCGGCGTCGGCCGCGCCGCCCGCCCGCCCGACTGACCCGCCCGACTGCGAGGCCGGCGTGGTCTTGGTGATGACGACGCTCTTGCCGAGCCGGCTGTCCAGGTCCACCTTGTACTCGCGTTGGCGGAGCAGCTCGCGCTGCACGGGCGGCCCCTTCTCGTCGGCCGCCTCGCGGCGCGCCTCCTCCTCGGCCAGCCGCTGTGCTGCGATTGACTCATACTCGTCCCGGTCCCACTTACGCCGGTGGTCGTCTGCCTTCTGTGGCCAGATAAACATGTTGCTAGATGGTGAGGTCATACAAGCACTGGTGGTTTGGAGATTCACATGCCATCTTTGGTAAGGTTACGTATTTGCTCTGGCCTGGAATGCTTAAATGTCATTTGGCAGCAAGGCTGCATATACTGACAGTATGCAAGCTGACAATGCCTCACCAACAACCTGTCTGGTTTTTCAACTGCCTCCCATTGACTCATATTTTATTTGGCATAACAATGCTCAAATGCAAAACTCTGAATATCAAAATTGATATAAAAAGATCCTGGTATCCCAGTAAAACATAAAAGCAAAACAATTTTACTTAAATATATAGCCTTAACATGTTATGATTGCTTTCTAGTGTTGTAATAACAAGGCATGCATAGTTCAGAATAATGCTCATTCCAAACATGGCAATTAAATTACACCATGTATCATAATTAATTATATCACCACATACTGCACCACCATTACATGATTATGATACTCATACTCATACTGTACAAGTTTCAGTATGCCTAAGCATGCACACAAATACTTACACTTGAAGATGCCATTGCTGGTTCTGAAGTCAATAGCAGGTTTGTTCTAATGCCATCTGAAAAACAAGCTCTCCTCAGGCATAAAGCTGACATCCACAGAAATATGTCCAACAACAGTGGCCTGGGCCAATTTCACTCATGTTGGAGTAGCACATGAAAGGAAATAGGGAAGACATGGTGAGATTTAGAATTGCCCATGTTAGAGAATAATTATTCCTCCCTTTATAGCTAAGGCACAAAAAAATGTGCTTGAAATTCATTGTCATGATTTAATTGCATACACATATTTTCCTCTCAATTCAAGTCTGTTTAATGCATCAGACTACCACATGGAGAGCCCAGGTTCAAAATCCAGTTGTGCCTTGATCCCTAGGCATTGGTATGGCCAAGCAGTCACTAGCACTCCATAAGAAGCCTGACAGCAATATGATGAAATCACATGTCTTGCTGCCGATTCTACCTAAACTGTTCACAAAATTGCTCATTTGTTGTAAATAATGCCTAAAAAAATGCATAACACAAGGAAGATGAAAAAGGGGCGATGATGTTCCACCTCTTCGCCACCCTGGACAGTTCCATATCAAGCCTCACAAGCCGAGGTTCTTTCCATCTGACGACTGAAACGTCATATTGTGGCATATACAGTATAAGGTCCAGTCTGCAAATGAATGCCCAACAATCCATATTCCATACCCAGTGTCGCATCTATTCACCCAATGTACGCACCGGGTCAGGGCCAAAAACAGCCTGAATCAATTAAGTCTAGAGCGCAACCCACAAAATATAGTTAGCAGTAGATGCTTCAGAAATTTATCAATGTCTTAAGCACGTTCATTTGGGTTTATTGTCATAAAATGACAATAAATAGCGTCACGCCTCCCACCTGCCACCCAACAGGATCACATCGACGTACAATTTACAGGATGGTTGTCAGCTGATTATCTGCGAATAGTGAAGGTCGCGGATAATTCAGCTGGTTGTACGATGACGCCACAAAACCACCGCCAATCTGCTCGTGGTGATGCAGTGGGTCTGTGCCAGGCAGGCCGCCCCTGATTGGGTCTGTGTGCTTTCCGTCACAAAAGTGACCCCTAGCAAGCGGGTGGTGACTGAAAGGAACCGGGCGGGACAGAACAGGGAAACACAGAACCAGACGGAAGCGGACCGGACGAAACCATATGGGAGTTGGAACATGGTTCGGACGGGACAGGACAGGATCATTCCAGACCAAACCAGAGGGGTCCGGGTGGGCCAGAACAGAAGGGGCAGGATGTGACCGGAGGAAACTGATGGGATCAGTCAGACTAGACTTGATGGAATTGAATCGAACCGGACGAGGCATGGGACCGGGGGTGACTGTACGGAGACCGACGGGACCAGATAGGATTCAATACTATGGGATGATACGGGAGCGCAAGAGACGTGATAAAAAGAAGCAGGACTGGACACAACGGGAACGGAACGAGACCGGCCTGGAACGGACTAGGTCTGTCTTATGGTTCTATCTGGCTTTGTCTGGCTCCATCCGGTCACGTCCAGCATCGTCTGGACACGCCCTGTCCAAGGTCTGGTTTGGTCCACTGGTCCACTGGGTTGCCCATTTTTTTTTTCTAGTCTCGTCCAGTCCCTTTAAGTCCGAACCATTCCCGTTCGCTTTTGTTCGGTCCCGTCCCATTGCGTCAGGTCCCGTGCGGCAGTGCTCAGTCCTGTGCCACATTGTCCGGTCCGGACCGGGCGCTTCCGATCTCGCCTGTTCCTGTCTGGACTCTGGTATTTAGGATGACTGACGGATGCGAAGTAAGCCTTATTTATTGCTTTTATTATGCGGCACATAAAGCTAACTGAAGGCGTTTGAGGTATATGAAATTATATTGTGCATACGGTGACGCCAAAATTGCATTGGCTTCATGTCAGACTGAATTCAGTGAGATCGCTTTAGGAAGCATGAGCCTTACGCGGGCGATACGAAAATCTCTAAGTCCAACCGCATCTGCACTCAGCTGAAGCCAGCTGGACGGGTTGCTCACTGCGCTGCGCTGTTCTCTGTCTGTACCGCGTCATAAACGGATGCAGCTGTTTCGTGCACCCCACGAGAGGCGTGGGAGGTTTTACGGCCACGAGCAAGGCCCTAGAACAGGGGCCACGAGGAGGTCATTGCGTACGCGAAACGTGGCCGGCGCCGCTTGGTGAGTGTGTGGCATCTGCTGCGTATGGGACGTCTGCTTATAATACCGCAATTTATGTGCTGAACTTCGTTCTAACCAGCATCCATCATCGTGCGTGTGTCGGAGGTGCGTCTTAGGACAGCCGCGGGACGCCCCGCGTGGTATCGGCGCCAGCGTGCCTACCTAGCTATTTGCTTAATTAACGTTTTTGCATGCTCAAGATGCTGAACACGCGGAAACCAGATTCTGTGTTGGTCCGGTGCATAATTGAAGCCCCCTGTCCCAGCAATACCCATTCATTTTTGTATTTGTATTGATGTGGAAGGGGGTATGAATGAGGTTGCTACATAGCATACGCTGGTTTATTTGCTATCCTGATTATGTAAATGACATTTTCACTTTAGTAGGGAAGACCAGACTTAATAGGGTACTTGCAAATATGGACTCCTAGGTTTGGTGCTCATATTCAGCACCAATTTCCTAGCATAAATGGTCATTGTTTCAAGGAATCATGATATTGCAAAAGTAATTTGAAGCAATTATAGGCTCAATGTTTTCAGACAAAACTCATTTGTAAGTTCAATGCAATTTGGACTGGCCTGAGTTGAGTACATGTGTGCTGCAGGCTCACTAAAACAAATGCAGTCAGGAAAATGCAGCATAAGTACTGCCAGTAAAGGCATTATAAGTATATGTTATATGTTGACTTATTTCACCATTTTTGTTTTGTTTTTTGTGCAGTGCAATCAGGCTGGTGCTTCTATTTGTCACTGCTTTACAGCTGAATTACCTTATCACATAGGGTTAAGAATTATTACTCTATGGTAGCAAATAGCAGGATCAGATAAGCGCTATGCCTAAATATGAAGTGTGGGGTTAGAGAGTGTTAGTGAACTATGTTTTTAGCATTTTTTGTTATTATTTTCAATATAAATGGCATTTTGTGGCAAGGTATTGTATAGTTAGTGCATGTTATTAGTGTTTTGGAGTGGTTCAAGACATCCTTATTTCATTGAATCAGAACTGTTGGATAAATGCCCTTTGTGTGCTTCATGCTGAAAATATCCATTGAATATGGAGGTGACCTACTATGTCGCCACTTACCTTTGTACTATGGCTGGCTCAAACCATGCAATATGTGTGCTAATGTCCCTTTCATGGAGGTGAATTTTTATACTGAACCCTTTTATGGCATGAATTTCTGGGTTAGTACCCACACTAAGGGCATGGAGCAACTAGAGACTACCCCCATCACTGGGCAGGCACACCAACCAAGATATGGGGACAGACTGAAGCAGCACATGTCACCTCTTAGGTCATTATGATCAATATTTTGTGACATCTGATACCATGGAGTCGAAGTATTATATGCTCATCAGATCCTAATGTTTTTTCAGTCACAACCACAGTCCCCTGCACCTGCCAGTATGTCTGCTGAACAAGATGACATGCCAGACTTGGAAGAGGTATCAGAAGTTGCTTCCCCTCCTTCTGCTACTCTTGCTGTTGCCCATAGAGGAGTGCCAGCATCGACTGCCAGCAACCAGGCAGCTGCTGATGAAGACGAGGATGACAGTGATGGAGAGGAGGACTGGGAGGAGATGGAGGAGTCAGCTGCCCCTGTGGTGGCCACATGTCTGTTCTGCCCACTCCAGCTGCCGGTGATGGATGTGCTGACTCACTGTCAGCAGCAGCACGACCTGGACCTGGCCGCACTCGTGACCAGGCACGCACTCGACTGCTTCGGCTACATCCGGCTGGTGAACTTTGTGCGCAGCATGGCCGTGTCGCCGGGCGAGCTGCGCCGACTGCCGGGCGCCTCCTGGGCCGACCACAAGTACATGAAGCCTGTCATCGAGTGCGATCCTCTCCTGATGATTGGTGAGGCACCAGGGTCTGGGTGGAGTGAGCCAGAGGCACTGACTGGGTGGATCAGGTCCGGGTGGAGTGGGCCAGAGGTGCCATCTGGGTGGATCAGGTCTGGGTGGAGTGAGCCAGAGGCACTGTCTAAGTGGATCAGGTCTTGGTGGAGTGAGCCAGAGGCACTGTCTAAGTGGATCAAGTCTGGGTGGAATGAGCCAGAGGTGCCATCTGGCAGGATCAGATCTAGGTGGAATGAGCCAGAGGTGCCATCTGAGTGGATCAGGTCTGGGTGGAGTGAGCCAGAGGCTCTGTCTGGGTGGATGAGGTCTGGGTAGAGTGAGCCAGGAGGCCATCTGCATGGACCAGGTCCGGATGGAGTGAGCAAGGGGTGCTGTCTGGGTGGGTCAGGTCTGGGTGGAGTGAGCCAGAAGCACCACCTGGGTGGATCAGGTCTTTGTGGAGTGTGCTCACTATTCAGTCCCACCAGATGGCTGTGCATGACCAGATCTGCTCACAGTAACGGCGCTTGTGCTGCATGCTAATAGAATGTAATGGTGTTCTGGAATTTGTGTGTAAGCAATCATGTAGCTCTGGTGTTTAGATCTCAGTTTTCTAGTCCTCTGGGAAGTAAAGCATAATCTTCTACCTTCAAGCCCTGATTCTGGTGAGACAAAGTCTTCGCGTTTCCCACGAGGATTTTCCTCTCATTCTGACCCATCTCGTTTTGCATGCCCTGACTCTGAACGTCGCCCCCATCTGCATCACCAAAATTGCCACGGCCATCCGGCAGACCTGGAGGACCTTGTCGGCGCACCGGCCGCCGCACCGCCACCTGCCGACGACGCGTCCCGCCACGTGGTCAACTACGAGGGCGACTACGTGACCCTGTCGGTGGTGCATTACGAACAGCTGCAGCACCAGCTGGCCGAGCTGCGCCGGCAGCTGCAGGCCAGCCAGGACCGTGACGAGCTCCTGCTGCAAGGTGACGAGATCAGGCAGGCGCCAGGTCGTGACGAGCACAGGCATGAGTCGTGACGAGCATAGGCGCCAGGTCATCACGAGCACAGGCGTGAGGTCTTGACAAGCACAGGCACCAGGTCATGGCAGGCATAGGCACCAAGTCATGACGAGCACAGGCGCCAGGTCATTTCCCCAGCATGCACCAGCCTGTGTTTCGGGCAGATGTTGGATCATGTTTAGGCAGACAAGTGGTGTCTCGGCCGTATGTCAGGTAGCATCCTCGGCTGGCGATAGGCCTGGTCCTTGCTGAGGTCATGTTTTGTCCCCAGCAGACACAAGGTATTTCCATATCAGATATGACGTAGTGTCTGCTGTGATGTTCCTCGGTCGGCGCCATCGTCTTCGCCTGCTGTTTGCTCTTCTCTCCGCATATGACCGTGACCTATCGTGTGCTTGACCTATGGCCTGACTATCGCTGACCTGACTATGACCTGACTATCGCTGTGCTTTCGTTCCATGTGATATTTGAGCCTGCCATTCTGGCAAATCGCCCACGCACGCTTTGCATCGGCTGCCGTCGTTGACTTCGGTTGCCTCGGCCGTCGCCAAGACGTACGAACCACAAGTTGGATGAACGGTTGCCAGCGCGACGTGAGCGCTCTAGCCTGACGGTCCCACGTTGACAGACATGGCCACGATGCGGGGCACGATGCATCAGATCCTGCGGCTGGACGAGGAGCCGGAGCCGGCGCCCGTGTCGAACGCCACCGCCGCTGGCGACAGCGACAGCTACTTCGAGTCGTACGCCCACTTCGGCATCCACCACGAGATGCTGTCGGTGAGCGGCTGGCTGGCGTGCACGTACGCCGCTGCACGAGCGCGCACGTACGCCGCTGCCCGAGCGCGCACGTACGCCGCTGCCCGAGCGCGCACGTACGCCGCTGCCCGAGCGTGCACGTACGCCGCTGCCCGAGCGTGCGGCGCGACTTCAGCATAGCGTGTGACACGCGCTTTTTGTTTCGACTGTCGTGGATGATTTGTAATCCGATTGTTTTGGTGGGGATGCCGAGATTTCATCGCGCCATGGCCGCACCCGGCGATGGGCCGGGTCGGGTGGTGCGATGCTGGCGCTTTTTTGCGTGACAGCGACCGTACCTTTGCGTCTGGCCCGGGGAAGCTCTTCGCTTTAAATATGTATCTATCGGAGAGGTGATCGTGCTCTTGTAAGCGCACTTTGTCCCATCGCGAATCACGCACATTTGTGTTGCTCTGCGTGGAAATTTGTCGCGCTTGTTAGTGCGTCATCAGTCCTGGGGCGATGCGCTGCCGTGGACTCGAGCTGTTGAAAGGTCAGGGTAATTGCGTTTTAATTCCCATTGACCTTGGTCTGTTTTGTCTCCCTTTGTTGTTGTCGGGGAGGCAGAAAGAGCAAAGCGCATGAGCTGCTCGTCTGACGTTCTCGGCGTGCGTTCGCGCGGACTCGAACCGGACGTCACCTCCACGGCGTCTGCGCGGACTGACCTGCGCGAGCCGTGGCCGCCGGCAGGACCGGGTGCGGACCGAGGCGTACCGGGACGCCATCGGCCGGAACGCGCTGCCGTGCGTGCGCGGCCGCTCGGTGCTCGACCTCGGCTGCGGCACGGCCATCCTCTCCATGTTCTGCGCGCGCGCCGGCGCCGCCGAGGTGGTCGGCGTCGACCGGTCCGAGGTCATCTACGACGCCATGGATATAGTCAGGTGGGCGGTGGCGGTCAGCCGGACGCCTGGAGGGGGGGGGGGGGGGGGGGGGGCGTCTTGGGGAATGCCACATATTACGGTGTTCATAGTTGAGGCATCGTCTTAGCTGATAGCGTTGTGGCCTAGGAAAAGCGCGGAGGTACTATATTCCTTGGTCGGTGTTTATTCAAAACATGTTGAGAAACTACATGCTATTGATTTATGTATGTACCATAGGACTAAGATATCATTGGTTAACTTGTTGAAAGGACCGGCCCTTTAATCTGCTAAGCTGTTCGCCCCAGAGAAGAATGACTCGATTAGAGGGCGTCTCCCAGTCTCGCAGGTCGTGACTGTTCGCTTGACACTGTGAAACAAACTGGCGTGGCCCACGGCTCAAGCAGACTGCTGAGTTGCTGACGTTGTTGGTCGGTATTGTGACGGGCTATCGCGCCGTAGCCGGCTGATCGTGACGCCGGCCTTGACGTGCCGGGAGCAGGGTATGCCGTCTTTCTTCGGCAGGGAGGGCTGTGTTTGTGGCGGAGTGATGAGTGGTCCACGTTGAGGCTCCGCGCTCTCTGTAGAGAGGGCCGTGCCTGTGGCGGAGTGATGAGTGGTCCACGTTGAGGCCCCACGTCCCCCGCCAGTATCCAGGTCACGTGACTCTCCTGTGCTCCTCAGGGAGAACGGTCTCTCCGACGTGGTGAAGTTGGTGAAGGGTCGGCTGGAGGAGATGGTGCTGCCCGGCGGACGCGACCGGCGCTTTGACGTCATAGTGTCCGAGTGGATGGGCTATTTCCTGCTGTTCGAGGGCATGCTGGACTCGGTGCTGTACGCGCGGGACCACCTGCTGGCCGACGGCGGCACCCTCATGCCCAACCGCTGCACTATGAGCTTGGTGGCCGTATCCGACATGGGTCAGTCAATCGCACGGCTCAATGGGCGGAGGTTTAGTGCTGGGTATTCAGTAGATTGTAGGCGAACATTAGGCGTTGGGACGTTGATACCCAATTGCCATCCGCGGGCCGTTTTTAACCATCGCGTGGAAAGTAATCCGACTGCGTTGGCGCCTGTGAAGCTTTTGAGCTGATGTCTGTAATCCTGATCGGCCAAAACTGTTCAGAGATGGAGTTTTTTCTACGCGTAGAGTTTTTCGTTTTTATTAGGCTTGCATGCCTCACTGTATTGACGCCGCAGCACTGACCTGGGCCCGGGTGCTCGCCCGCAGAACGGTACGACCATCTGCTGTCGTTTTGGTCGGACGTGTACGGCTTCCGGATGAGCTGTCTGCGGGCAGAGGTGCTGCAGGAGGCCAGTGTGGAGGTGGTGCCGGCTGCCGCCATCTGCTCCGACCCCTGCCAGATCAAGCAGCTCGACCTCAACACGATCACGTGAGTGCCGGCCGAGCGCCCGACGCTGGGCCGGGCCGGGCCGGGCTCGAACTACGCCGCCACGCTCGATGGCTGACTGAAGACTTCTCTACGGGCCGTCTGTGTCTGGGATATTCGTTTGGATGATGCCAGTGACTGATACACCTTGTTGTGGGTAGGCACAGATGCGGAGTGACGCGACAACTGGAATTCCACCGCGCGGGGCCGAATTTCGAACACCTGCTCGCACCGTGTTTCATCTCGTTGGATGCGTTGCCTCACGCATTACAAAACGGTCGAAAAATCGCATGTATTCCTTTAGAACCTCGCAACGGTTCCGCACGTGAGTTACTCTATCGCATGTCATCAGACACGGGATAAAATCGGTTCTTTTACCCAGGTGCCATGCCGAGCCCTTGACCGGCAGCGCTTGTCTGTTGGTGCGCGCGCGCGCGCGCGCACATGCTTGTGCGTGTGCGTGTGCGTGTGCGTGTGTGTAAGTGCTTGCGCACCGTTTACCCTCCGACCACCGCCGGCTTTCCGCCCGTGTGCCGCAGTGTGGCCGACACCGAGTTCACGGCGCCGTTCTCGGTGCGTGTGACGCGCGCGTGCCGCGTAACGGCGCTGGTCGGTTACTTCGACACCCACTTCGATCTGCCGATCGCGGTCGGCTTCAGCACGGGGCCGCAGGCGCCGTCCACCCACTGGAAGCAGACCGTGTTCTACCTAGAGCAGCCGGTCAGCGCTGACGCAGGTGCGACTGGGATGGCGCGCGGGAGGGACCGAGGGCACCCAGGGATGGCCAGTGAGGGAAGGGGGAGGGGAGGGGGGGGGGGGAGACAGGCGAAGCCAATGCAAGTTCCAGCTAGTTGTGTGGTTACTTGTCGCTCGTTTCTGAGAACACATGTGCCAGGGGATGTGATGTGCAGACATTAGGTCTGTGCAAGGTTTGGAAAGGATTGGTAGGGGTTTATGTGCTGCGGTTGGGCGTGTTCATCAAAGTTGTTGATGTGGTGTTTCTGCGCCGTGAGCTGAGGTAAGGTCCATTGTTCATAAGGTCCATGTTGTTCATAAGGTCCATGTTTTTCGGTGCGCACGTAACATCTGGAGACGAGCGGCAGTCAGCACGGCGCTGCACGGTGTGCCGACCGATAACCTCTGCTTCGCAGGCGACACGATAGATGGCACGCTGTTCTGCGGCCGGGACCGCAAGGACCCGCGCTCCCTGCGCGTGACACTGACCACCGGCGGCCGGAGCCAGTCCTACCGCGTCTCATAGCGGCGGCTCGACGTCCGGCGCTCAGGCAGAGGTCGGTGAGCTGGTAGCCCTCCGCCCGTCCGTCCCAGCTGGCGCCGGCGACGACGCAGAAGGCAGGCTGTGCATTTGTATCGTTGTTTGTCGTGCAATACAAATCACGGTCCGTCGCGCCGCGTCTGCCGTTGGAATGGACGGTGGGGAAAACGCTGAGGACGGGGCGGAGTGCGTGGCGTGGGTGTCAAGCGACTACACAGCGAAAGTCTCGGTTTATACCGGGCATGAAGCGAACTCCAGCTTTGTTTCAATGTACATAGGCTATGTCGAGAGATAGATCAGTTGAAACGCTGATAGCAAGGTGCCATTTTTGTCATCAAGCGTTTTGGGTAGTTCTCATGTGGGGATGACAGCGGAGACGGTTCGGATGACAGTTGCCGGTGTTGGAAAAGGTGCGGAAGCAACTTCGTGGTTGCTCGTTTAACTGACGGCACTAAGCAGCGCAATGCTATTGCAAGGAAGCGAATGGCTGCCATTAGTTTTCTGGCAGTTTGCCTATTGATTCTGTCAGCCAGACTGAATGAAATTCTGGTCTCGCGGGAAGATCGATAACTACGAGCTCATGCATTTTTACAGTCGTGCCTTAAAACAACCAGCGACTACAAAGGTCACTTTTGCTTCACTTCAGCTTCATCCATAGGCGGTTTTAGCACGAACGTGCCAGTGGAACTAAGCAGTTTGTGGTATGAATCATCGAGGGACCGACTAAACACGCTAGAGTGTCGAGTGCTTGATAAAAATAGCCCGGGTTTCATATCTCAGTCGCTTGATCTAGCAAAAACGACGACGGCTTTCCAATTCAGATATGCAATTCGAAAACTTATGTGAGGTGGACTGAAAAGACTAAGCAGTGGAAGGTTCGCTACCCGAGCGGGCTTCCAGAGCAATATAGCAGCCGCGCGAAACTGAATTATCGAGCAACTTCCGGAAAACACCTTATTATTTGAATAAGACGTGGCCATTCAATGTTTGTAATTTAACTCTGGCACTAGCCAAGCGTGCCATCTGAGCGGGAAGCGCTAATAAGTAGCAAGCGAAGCGTACATTTTGGGATCCGTTGCCCGTGTCCTGCGGCTGTGGCGACAAACGCCCGGTCCCGGCCGGGACAGTGGCTCAGAGCGACACCACCGGCCAGCTCCGCGCGCTGGCGCCACGCCCCGCCCGCCGACTGACGGCAAAAACTGCACACGAGAATGTAACCCTCGGCCGTCTTCCCTGAAAAGCCTCGAAGGCAGCGACGATCGGGACATCAGCTGACTGAGGCGAACATGTGTTGGTCGGAACGAAGCAAGTCGACTTGATTGCGGTATTTGAGATAAAATGACTTTTCGGGTTTCTGCCATGTTCGTAGCCACCAACGCCCTTGCTAGCGTCCGTCGGTTTCTGGCGACGCCGTGACTACGCCGACGGATCGCTCTTGGTTGTTGTTTTTTTTTTTTGCAGGGGCGGTCAGTTTTGGGACAAGCGGCGCCAATTCAACCACGCCGCGGTGGTCTGAGGAATGACGACGCAGTTGTTGTCCATTGTCAGAGATGGACATCGGTCTAAGCCTGGCCGGATCAGAAATCGTTCTGGAAATAAAGCAGTGACCCGTGATGGTAATCGAGCTTCAGGTTACACATCGACGACATGCTTTACATACTGCATGCTTAAGGTTACACATGACATACGAGACAAATACGACTTTGCTATGGATGAGGCGGTGGGTAAGATTTATTTAGGTCACGTCTCATTGCAACACATGTCCGTGCCAGTGTAATCCCTGAAGATAGGCAGCCCTGACAATCCCTTACGGATCTGAATCTGCATCTCTGACGATACCTCACGTATCTGAATCTACAACCCCTGACCATCCGCTACGGATCTGATGGACTCAGACTTGGACTCAGACTCAGACTCAAGCTCCTTTGATTCAGACTAGGGCACTGCTGCTGTGCACCGACTGGCTTCGGCTTGTGGTTAGAAATCCAAATAATTAATGTAAGGAATGCATGATCATTAGTGTTAAGCTCCTGAAATTATCGCGATAACTCGTCCCGCCACCCTCGCGCTCCGTTTGATGACCCAGAAGACGGACATTCAATCAAAGGCCATAAACACTCGGGCGTCTTTGACGTCAGTCTGGAGGGGCGGCGCACTGCTCCTCAGGCCAGTGGCCTGTGTCAGTCCCAGCGCGTCCGACTGACCGGCCACCCGCCATCTGAGGGACAGGAGCTCATCACCACACGCGGCGGAACACAGACTCCAGCCCGCGGCCTGCCCCCCCCCCCCCCCGCACAGTCGCCGGAGCGGTTTGGCCCGGATTTCCCTTGTTCTCGGACGGCCGCGCCACATCGACTCCCTTTGAGGCCAGCGTTTTTGCTAGCCAGTGGGCCGCCGGTGGAAATAGATTTGGCCGCTCGGCTGCGTACCGACTCTGAGCGACCTTGTCTGAGAGCAGCTTCGGTGGGCGTGTTCGCCGCGCTAAACGTCTGGACGGCGTCCAAAGCCAGCCGGGGGCCGGTGACCCCGGCTTGGGCACCGACACGTGTTGATCACGTGACCTGAGGTGGTGCATCGGGGTCGCGGGGCAAAAGGAACGGCTGGGCCGTTCCTCCTCCATGAGACAACCACCGGCGTTGAGTATTTTGAGAAGCGTGTTACCACGTACCTGGTGATCCTGCGGCCCCGGAGAGCCTCCCTGACGCGGGGGCTTTGGTCGCTGCCCACGCTAGCCCGCTCACCGGCTGCGCCCCTGCCGTGACTTTAAGACCTCATACCACTGGAGGGTGAATCAACCACACTAGCTGACACAGAGATTGGCCTGTCATATATCATACGCCTGGCCGTCGCCCGCTATCTGTCAGAGAAGTCAGCTGGTGCTGCAACCGACTGTCCCGCAAGCAGAGGCTCGTTGCTGACTGTTCAGATAGTGGGGTCACGTACCGGCTGGTACATGCATTTTCCAACTGTTTCGAATGCGAAAATCATCGCGAGCCTTATCCTGTCGCTCAGAAACAGGCTGACGGCGATGTGCCCTAGTTAAGTCATCTTTCTAGCCTTACGGACTCTCGTGCGTCAACTCTAGCTCATCGCACTCTGCCACAAACGACTGGCGTCAAACCCCTGCTTAAAGACGCTTTATACGCCCCTCCCCCCCCCCCCCTCATCATCAGGGAGAGCTCTAATGATTCACATATGTCCTAGTGATTCACATACGTCGATTCGCTTAAATGGCAGGCTATCGGGATGGCTATTGGAAGTCACTTGATGAACCAGACACGTAACGTAACACGCGGTGCTACGCGGTCGCGGCCTATCCGTGGTGTGCAACCGCTGAAGCATGCCCCAAGTTTGGCTATGACGATGTGGCCTGATAAGTGGTCCTCGCCGACACTAATTGCGCATGCAAGCTGACACTAACTGCGCTTACACGAAGCTTGTTTACCAATGTTTAGACCGTAACGGTGCTTTTAATACATGGCAAAAGTGTGTCGAAGTGAGTCCATGCTCGTCCCATAAAACAGCTTGCCCATGCAACCGTTTATCTTTACAAGCACTCGTTTTTAATTTATACGGCAATGCAGGTTTCGTTCTGTCTATGTGGGCAGGCAGGCAGCATCTTAACTGCAAATGACGTGGACTTTCGCGCGCCATATTCCGCCGATACAAACGGTAGTGTGAGTGGAATAAAGACAAACTAAGTCGCTCGCCCCGCTTGTCATATGGACAATACTCCATTTCCAATGTGTGTACTAGAGCAGTACTAAGACACAGAGAGCCACAGAAAAACTACTGGTATCCTTCCTTACTTTTTCATTCGCAAATGTGTGGTCCTTTCGCCGTTTACACGAATGAAGAAAACCCGCTCTTTTCCCCATATGGCCCGATTAGTCACCCACTGACGTGCCTGCAGGCTGTCCACTCGCTCCGCAGAGCTCCGTGTCCCCTTCCCTGCGCGTGCTGGCTGGGTCTGGGGGGTGCAGTCCCGTGGCCTGAGACGGAATACGGCATGATGGGACGGATGTGTGGGACGCTCGTCACCCAAATGGTGACGAACTACTCACATGCGCGCGCATCGCGAGAGTTGGACCAGTTGGATCCTTTTCGTCTTGTTTTGCAATTCGCTGAAAGAAAAACTGTCGATAGATTAAACTTTCGTAATAAAACCTTGATATGGACTTTGAAGCCAAGACACACGAAATCCACCATCATCATCACTGTAGAGAAGACCCTGGCAACTGCTGACGGGTTACCAGAAGACACTGGCAACCTCTGACGGGTTACTAGAACACCCCTGAGGGTAGATATATGCACATATCATTGCTGTGCCGCAGACCGGTCAACGCAGGAGAAAAATGCCACTTGAATGTCCATACCAGAGTGTGATAACAAAAACACAGAGGGACATTCTATTTCTGAAGGGGTGAAATAACGGTCCGGAGCTCTGTGGGAACCTGTCACGCTGATTTTTATGTCAGAAGCCCTCTTGGCGCGTTTCGTACAAGTGATTTTTACCACCCAGTGTCATAAAGCCTTGCAAATTGCATGTTGACGATTACGTGTGCATATGAACACATGCATGATTAACAGTTTTAGGATGCACGTAATGGAAGGTTATGTTCCTTTGTCTGTGGGCCGGCGCAAATAACCAAAGCAGTTGACGCGCACTTAAAACCCAATAATTAACTACCTGTATGTGGAACACTTACGCCTTTTTGATGAGTCCGGATTGCAGATGGAGTTACGCTACAAATCCAAGCACTGCCACTCGATGTAATGAGAAAAAAGATGGTTTTCGAGCCTTGCTGAACTGGATGGTGCAGGCGCTGAAGGTCAAAGTATGGGGCTTGTCATCGCCATCAGGTGTGAAGATGACGCCATTTTCATGTGTTGTTCAGTCAAGGCTTTGATTGCGTTCCTTGCTTTTGGTGCTGATGCTCGATGGTGGAGTTTGAATCAAGCCCCTAGCTTTGAAGCGCCGGCCTCCCCCTGTCCTAAATGTAAGCTGCGCGCGTCATCAACAAATATTCATGAATTTCGTCTCTGGAGCATGATGTTCAAAGGCATATTCAGGCGTCTATCAGGTCGGTCCAACCCCCTGGCCGTTTCTGTGTACAAGGGTC